TTCTGTAAAAGTATGTAGTAGGGTTTTTATGCATGCTGATTTCATGGAACCACTTTTCACAAATTTCAGAGCTTTTTATGTGGTTGAATCACATCTTGAGAAGCAGAAAAAGCCGATTTTTCGATTGCGGAGCAGACTGAGTAATTTTAAAATTGCTATAAAACGCTGAAAAGAAAACATTATGAGAATCCTTCTTCTCTGTATGTAAACTTTTACAGTATAGATACATTTTATGTAGGAAAGTACGAAAACTTATGTGAGCAAAGTGTCGGTACCAGCTCAGCTGGCACCCAGCTGGCACGGTGCCAGCTAATCCAGAAAAAAGTTCGGCACAGCTTTCATTCACATGTGTTTTCATAAATTTTTGGGCTAAAGTTCCGGTCCACCAACGCGCATGCACACACCAAATTTGGTGTCATACTATTGCATTTTGGCTGAGAATGAGGCCTTTGTTTGTTGATGGACAGCATGCCGGTGGCATGCCGGCGGCATTCTTGCGGCATTTCTCCGCCGTGGACCCCGAAAAAACGATATCCCCTTTGCTTCCCGCCCTAAAAAGGATTTCCAGCTTGACCCGGTGCCAGCTGTGCCGAGCCCTGCCTTAATTAGTCAAAATAACATTGAAAAGGCGAAAAAAGCGCATTTTGAGGTAACTAATACAACAAAAAAAGCAAAAAGAAAACATTTCGAATTGATTAAAGGCTCTGTCACTGGGTAGTGTACCATTTTAGCGCTCAGAATGTTGAGAACCTCCTAGGCCAACCAAATCTGTGGCCTCAACAATCTGGCAGTGCATTTTTCGCCACATAGTTCAAAGGACATCGCGTGTGATTGGAGCGCAATATCTATGAACGCGTACAGATTTGCACTACTTTTGGCTCAAGAAAAGAGGAGAGGCAATAGTTTGATTTGCTCTCTTCACTATATAATAGATTTTTGAGCGTTTTAATCGTCCAAATCAAAAAGGTTTAAAACTTATGTGAACTCTCCGAAATTTATGCTGCGAACCAACCCAGTTGGTTCGGTGGTTGGTCTAGAAACCAACAAATCCGGAACGGGTATTCAGACACATAAGTTTTGAGAACTTTTTACATAGCATAGTTTGGAGTAATATTGTATACTCATAGCCCAAATTCGGAGCCATGTGATTGTTTGTGCGCTGTAAACAAGCCATTTGTTTGTTTGAGTCTTGCATTTAAAATTCGCGCGCTTACAAAAGAACACGTTCAACTCGTGAAACCTAACATGTTCGTCGTGTTTTTTGGCGCTTCTTCCAGGATCTCATAAAAACGATGTCCCCGTTGCTTCTAACTCCAGAAACGAAGTCCAGTTTGACCCCAAACCATCGGTGCCGGGCCCTGCCATTCAGCCACCTCCTCCAACATCCAACATCTCACTGCGCGACCTGGACGGCTTATGACCTGCAGCCATGCATTCAATAACGATGGAGCTGGCGAACTGCCGCCTATCTACCCAAGGGTTGGCATAAGAAACTGTTTATCAACCTATCAAGAGACATCCGTGAATAGGAGGAGCCATATGCGCGCTGATGAAATACGCCGACCAGCCTGACGTTGAGGCCTCCTTCCTAGCCCAAACACTTTGTTGGCCGCGTAAATGACACTTTGATTGTCCTCCTATGCTTGAGTAGAACATCGTCACCAAGCATCGCCCACTGGCTTGGTCCCATGCTAGTCTGGATGGAACGACATAACAACTCACTAGCAATCGTACCTTTGAGTGATATTAGTCGCCAGCCCTCAAATGTCCTCGTATCTTTTGAACTCGTTAAGTATCTCTACACAACCGTTCTAATTCGGCGAGTCCTGATACTGCTAGATCACGGGTGGAAACACGTCCCAACAAGACTATCACGCGTTGGGCCAACCGCTTCGGGATCTAGTGATCAAATCCTTTTGCATCAAGCTAGTGTACTAGGTGGCGGGTCGTAAAGTCATATCAACCAGTTGATCAGCGATATTGGCGATTGCAGTCCATTTTCCAGCTCTATGCGTAGCACTGAAGGGGACACGAGGACATTGAGGTTGTAGTTACCATGATCTTCTTCAGTTTTTAAAGCATTATGTAATACAAGTGCAGATTTTAGGCTTTCATTGTATGGATCACATTCATTATTGAGCATACACTCATAGCCCAAGCCGACTTCATCCTCCAGGTGCGCTCCAACCATTCAACTTTTGGGGCGCCAGCACTTTTGGCCCATCTCAGAGGATCTCGGCAATACTCCTCAGATGATGTCCATGGTACTCTCACCTCAACCATTCTCGTTCAATTGTACTTCCTGACAACCCATTCGTGAACATGGGTCCTCTAATCGCTAACCTACCCATATCGTGACATCATCTGTAAAGTCAGGCTTTAAATACACTGCGAGAGATGTACAACGTCCCAATCCCGTAAAAACAGCGGCTCGGCAGATTGACCTGCCTCAGATTTTGACACAGATGGATAGGAGGCCCTCCAAGTGAACCAAAACAGCAACTCCGCGCCGAAAATGTGAACTCTGCAAGCCAGGGGAGCGGCCCAAGCGCCGCTCCCCTTCCTCCTTTCGCTCCCCTAACACCTTGTTCGGACGAGTATTCTTCGCTAGACGGCGCGGGACCCCCCCCCCCCCCCAACCGCTTTCCCGAATTGTGCATGCTATACAAAGCCAAAATTACAAGCGGCAGAGTCTTCGTGCCAGGGCCTCCCGACTTTCCTTTGAAATTCTCGTCCGAGCCGCCTCTTGGAAATTGGAAAAAAAACGCCCCGAAAAAGGCCTTTTCACCCCTTTTAAAGCTCAGATTCGGGATCTACGGGTCGAGAAGGCCCAAAACATGCAAAAAGATGGAAATGAAAACCTGCCGAGACGCTGCCTTTAATAGTAGTCCTTGCTTTTGAATATCGATACTTCTCCTTTATCTCCATCTAAGACTGGTCCACAGCTTCTAGTGTCATGCCCTTCCTCTGCCTCCTTTCATGTAGTTTATTCCCGCACTTCTTCCACCTTTTCTCCTCCCTGCTCCGGCTCCGAATCTGTGCTGGTCTTTCTTTCTGTTTGCCTCGCTTCTCTACACCGCAACTTCCTTACTGCGAGTGTAGCTGAACTTTATTACCTCTAGTCTACATGATTACGAACAAATGCGATAATTAAGCTTTGGAAACAAATCCATGAACCGACCAAAGGGCCCTGCCCTTCACCGAGAAAACAGTGGCCAAAATTCCCCTGGATTGAAGACATATGTGTACAAAGATTCAGTTATTCAGTTAATGTATTCTACAAGAAACCTACTACACCTTCACAATGCAAACTGCAAACTTCATGTAGTGTCGGTTTCTTCTAACGTTCCGTCTTCTTCACTCAGATGACCAAAGAAGTACTAGCAATAATGTCTTGACTTCTGTTACCTGCAGTAAATGTCAAATATATATACAGGAAAACGCGAAAACGAAGTAGCAGTGACATGATTAGGGTAGGACGGATACCACGATACAAACCCGATCAGCGTGAACGGACGCAGTAAGCCGACTCACGCTTAGAAGGCTACGAATCCACTTCAAAAAACCGTCACACGCTAATAACGTTTTAACAAGTTAATGCAAGTGAGTACGCGTTTTGCGATTCCCAGCAGTGCAACTGGCGATTTCTTTCCCAGTAGTTTTGTTGTGAGTTTTACAACTTAATAAACGAAAAGTATTATGATATACGATGCAATAAACATAGGTAAATGCAAAACTCACACTTTCAAGTACCCTCGGATGATTACTCTAATGCCCATTTTGTTGGGTTTTACATGAAACAAATGCAGGTAAGATGGAATTCCAACTTTCCTTTATTCATTTCTCTTATTCTGCAACATAAATTATTTTTGCATCACCTGAGCCACATTAATACTGTTCACAGTGACAAATTAGTGAACATCTCACACTGACTTTCAGTAATCTCACTCACACAAAAGAACCTGTTGATTGGACAATCAAACCACAGTTTCTAATAAACATAGGAGTAGCGAAAATGATTCAAAGTGCATTTGCAACTTCAAGTGAATTTTTATGTCGATTCTTGTAATTCTGTACAGTGCAAGACAAACGTGAGACGTTCTTCTACGAACGTTCGCTTTACGGAAAAGATCTAGAGCCTCGAAAGGCATTTCAAGCAGACTGCTTAGAAAAGGTCGAGCTCTTTGTGTTTTGGCGATGCATTCTTCTTCTCCACTACACTTCTAGATAAACTCTAACATGCCCTCAATAGAAAGCAGACCTTGGCAAGCCCAAGACGTCTAAAGATTCGCGAAAAAACACTGACTATGGAAGTATCACTGGTCAAAGTGGCCTTTCCAGATAACACGCAAATAGTTTCAAAGGGCATCGAACGCTGATTCCAAATCTGCCTTGGCTATCTCGGAGCGCCTTTGGGCAACGAGTTATGGAAGTTTTTGTGGAAAAAATTTGAAGGCGAGGGAAGAAGAAAATCATAGGCGGAAGTCTCCAGTTGGGCTTAAATGGAGCAATAATGTCTGTCAGACCATTCGGTGCAAAGAATAGTTTTTATCTGCTATACTCATACTCAAATAAATTCTATCTGCGAAATGTACAAACCGTTACAATCAATTTTATCCTCGTCGCCCGTTTACCTTTTGGGTTCTGCAACGACCACAGTCCTCACACAGAGGAGCTCCGCAGACAAAGTACAAATTTGGAATCAACTTTCGATGCCTTTCAGAAACATAAGCAAATCTTTCTGAAAGGCCTTTAGACTAATGATCCTTCCTCTGTGCGCGTTCGCAGAAGCACAATTGTAGAGTAGAACTAGTAGAAAAGCTGACATCCAGTGTTGCGGAACTCGTAGATCAAAGATTTTCTGCTCTATGACTTTCGTTTGAAGCAGTAGTAGGTCGCTTGCACAGAAGTATACGAAACTTCAACTCTGACTGGCGGGAACTTGAATCCTGCTGTTTCTTAAATTTCATTGCCTTCAGACTTGAACTCCTCCAAAGACTTCATTCAGACAAGAAAATTGCAAAACAACCAGCGTGATGCAGGTGAAATGTTGATTTCCCAAAAAGACGCGGTTTATCGTAGAAAATATTCACTGACAATTACAAGAATTAGTAAGTTTGGTTCTAAGTTCTAATGCAATACAATATATCCCATAAGATTAATGACAGTGCAGGGAATAAGAATGGAGAGAAAAGTCAAACGTGGACGATAATACCACCAAAAACAAAACAAGGGGCTTATAAAACAACTCAAAAAAAGAGATAACAAGGAGGTCCGAGATACAAAAAACGGGGGATGAGGAAACCTTCGGGTTGGTTCACTTTCAAAGCATCTTCTTTAGCTAGACGACTAGCACTATGATCATGAAAATATTTCCTATCAGGCAGGTACTTCGAAAGCCACCATCCACCGAACGTTCAGCGTCTCAAACGACGAAACACAACACAACAACGGACGTAAATGTAAATGATGAGTAAACATTAAGAAAACGAATTACAATGCGAGATGACGTCAAAGAGATGATCAAACGTTTGGAAGAATAATGAGAAAAGCTGGGCGAGATAAGACGATGATATAAAGAAAATATGCACATGACACTACGGATGGACCATGTACCATGTGATAAAAGGAATAAAGAAGAAAAAGAAGAACGGCAGCAATAACGGCGGGTATGACCTCAGGACCTCACCTCCAACAAAAAGAGAGAGAGAAAAGAGAACATGAGAACGACCATTGCGATTCCAGAGCTTCTTACATGATGCTACATCGCTCTGCAGGGTCAGACGGGTCCGTGGATTCGTCTGTTTCAAAAGTGACCGATGACCGGAGATCGCCATCTTGATCCTCAAGACGCACTGATGGATTGTCACCGATTGGCCACTAAAATACTCGGTTCAATAAGGAAACAAAACAAATGTAACAGTTAAGTTTTCAGCACACATCGTTCATTTTAGAGGAGTTTCTTGAAACTCGGCTGCTTCTTTTCGCCAAAAAAGGGGTGGAGAGGGGGGGGGGGAATTCTCCCAGCAGCGCCAAAGGACATGGGACTCCCAAAATTACTCCCTTTTCTGGACCATTCACACACGAGTGTGAAAAGGACTTAAGGGCACAGGGGCACAAAATTTGCATGCGCAATGTTCCGAGGCTCTGATATATGCAAAGAAAGCTAAAATTTGCAAAAAAAAAAACCCCCTCAGACAAACTAGAATTCCGCAAGAAAATATGTCAACTCGAAAGTGCGTCTAATACTGACATTTTGCTTCTTCATGACAAAGTCAGTCGGCGGACGGTGTTTCTCTCCGGAATCAGCCGAATACACTGTAGCGTGGCCATGAGGATCAAGCTTCATGCGAGTATTGAATTGGTAGGTCACCTAAAAAAGCGGATTATATTCATTCTTTTATTATTCTAAGCAAATTCAGTGAGGACAAAGCCCAATGCAACCCACTTCTTTGCCTCCAGCGCGTACTAGCAACTTCCAATGAGCGATGCTGACTTCTTCATCGGTGCTGTTCAAAATGCGTACCCACTGACCATTAGGGTCGATCTCATCAATACCAACTGGTCCATCAACATGCTTTTGCAGCTGAAAAGAGAAAAATTCGAACTCAAGACTATACGACAAGTTATCTCTCCCACTGATGCTCCGCTGACCTTCTGGCGCAAACGGTGGAAATCGAGTTCTTCATCTCCACCCCATTCAACTCTAGCTCTTTTCAACCCACGTGCACCTCCACCTCCTGTAAAATGAAGATATCAATGCTCATCAAGAATTGTTGAGAGAAAAGAAGAGGCAGAAAACTGTAAGGCATCAATAAATGATATAACAATCCTTGCCTCTTTTCTCAACTGAAAAGGAATCAGCCGCCTTGCCTCTTTTCTCAACTGAAAAGGAATCAGCCGCTAACGGCTTACCAGTCCCACTCGAATACGAGACATGATGGGTCATGCTTGTATCACGCGATTTGTCGCCACCAGTTTGCCCAGAGATGTTGAGACGAGTTTCTTCAGACTAAAATGATACAAGGATTACGGAGAGCCAGGTTATGACTTTTCAGAGTAGAAGTATATTTGAAAAGCCAATTGCTGCGGTTTCTAAATTCCTCTCAATCCAGAACTGGCCAGAAGAACAAAAAATGATGCTAACCTCAAGCAGCATGCGGTATGTGTTCAGTTCAGTATCCAGTTGAATTTTCAGATCAAGCAGATCATGGAACTCCTCCATCATGCGTTGGATCTCACGATTTAGTTCAGCAATGCGCAATTCCTATAAATTAAACATTGGACTCTCTTTCATTTGCAACCTTCGAGCCCAAAATCATCAAGGTGACAAACCTTCCCATCAAGTCTCTCTTGATAAGATCTTCTAGCGCGATCAAGTTCATCCTTGAGGTCGGCAAGTTCGCGACGGAGTCCTTCAATCTAAAACAGACATAATCGACCAGAAAGTCAACAGGGCAAAATCGTGGAGCACGAAAGGACTCACCACAGAGTCATGCGAGCTTCCACTCTTCTCCAGCTCATGAACACGAACTCGCATACGAGCTGCTTCATCATGAGCAGCTTCGGCTCGTTCGCGGGCATCATTGAGCTAAAAAAACATCAATAAATACCAAACAATTCGACTTATATAAGTAAAGCTAAAAAAGCAGACAAAGGCGAAGTCGACTGAGTTAAATACCCACCTTATTCTTGTATGCTTCCTCAAAAGCTCCCTTATTAGCTGATAATTGAGACTGGAAGCGGGCACGCATCTCAGCAAGCTGATCTTGAAGCTTCGACTGATATTCGTCATTGATTTGCTTAGCGTAGGTAGTCATGTCAACTTGACGTTTGTGGCGAACTTCTTCGAGAGCCTGGAACACGAATTTTGGAGTAAAAAAATAAGTCGCCACCCATAAAAAGAAGTCATTCACTTACCGACTTATGCTGCTTCTTCTGGAATTCCAGATCCTCCGTAAGCGCCTGGATTTTGGCATTCGCAGCCGCACGCAGAACACTTTCATCTTCGAGGTTCTTCTGAAGCGCAGCCAACTGCATGCGCAGACGAGCCACCTCCTTCTCAAGATTGGCAACATCGGCTTCGGCTTTGTCGAGTCTGTTCTGCATGTTCTTCTGCTTAGCAGTGCTGGATTCTGCCAGAGACAAGGCTGAGAGACGATCCTCTTCGGACTGAAAAGTAGGAGAAACTTAAGAAAGGGTAAAATTGTGGTGGATTAGAACTAGTACCTTTTTCAGATCTCTCTCCAGCTTGGCGACTTTTGATGCCAGACGTTCATGCTCGCCGATAGCCGAATCACGTTCCACCGCATATTTAGCGGCTTGTTCACGAGCATCTTCCAAAGCATTACGAAGGCGAGCCTTAAAAATGATTCACGACCTGCTACATCACCTTGAGAAGAGAAAAAAGCAGCTTACTCTCTCGGCTTCGAAACGTTCAGCAAGATTGTTTCTTTCCTTCTTCTCCACTACTTCAATATCCTTGATCTGGACAGTGAGACGATTGTTCTCAGCTTCCAACTGACGCACTTTCTGCAAAAGAAGAACAATTCGTCAAACATTCGCGTTTCATTGCAAGTGTCCACCAAAATCACAAAAAATGCTTGGAATGAGACACAGGTCTCGCCCAGGAGATAGATCGAAATGACTGCTCGAATTTCACTTGCGTGCTAATTTTGCGGAAAGATTTTTGCCGTTTATATCTCTCTATCTATACTATAGAGCTCGACCACAACTTATTCCAATATGCGCAGCAGCTGAGGCTTGCTATGATTCCAGGTGTAGACTGATTTGTCAGCATCAAGCATGATATCATTATTTTTTCGCTGTTTATTCTTTCCTTCCGTTGACTTGTCTTTCAGCTCTGACTAGGCAACCTGCACAAGAATTGATGATCCGTTCGTGTAGTACCCGCACAACGAATACTCTGCCGAAGTTTCAGTAACGGTAGAGCAGCAATAAAGGACATGTAATAGCATAGGATTTAATGGTCCCATATAGCTCTGCTACCGGATGCGAAAGGCGCGATATAGAGAAACACAATCTTGCACAGCTGTTGCAATCCCAGATCAGCATTACGAAGGCTCAACGACGACCCCTCCCCCCTCCCCACCCATCCTCCAACAATCCATATGACCACACTGACTTATCAAGCTCCCTGCACAAATACTACGCTACGTCATCAATTCCCTCCGAAGCAAAAACTTACATCAATGTAGGTTGCAAGACGACTGTTCAGACCAGTGAGCTGTTCTTTTTCCTGATGGCGGCTGCTCTCAAGGATTGACTGGCTGAAAAAAAAATACTTGTAACTTTTTACTGAGTAAATAGAATAAAAAACTCACAATGAATCCTCGCCAGTAGATCCAGTACTAAAGCTACCACTGAAGCTCACTTCACTACGGACAGGACCCGCAGAGCGTGTTGTTACTTTTGTCTTACGAGCGGACATGATCAAAGACGACCACTGAAAAAGAAAAAAGTAATTAGACGCATAGACCAATCATTTACGCTGCGATGTCACAGGATGGAAAAATGTCATTCACATTTAAACGAATGCAAATGACTTGAAAAAAATCGAGCAAACTGTTCGCAAAACCTCTAAAACTTAAAAATCGAATAGAAATTCGAAAATACCAAAACTGCTTTTACATTAAATTCTGGAAAATTTCGAAATTTTTCATACTACAACCCCCAAAGTACAACTTCCACGATAGCCGAGCGATGCGTATTCAAGCATGTATGCACCCGCCGAGCACATGTTGAACAAACAAACGACGCAGTGATGGAGAAAGGAAAGAGAGGAGACATTGCCCGACGCAAAATCCTCTTAAGCGTAAAAAGAAACCTACGGAGACAAACAGCTCAAAACAGTGCCTGGAAGGGTCCACGGAAAAAAACTGTTAGATTTTCGTATTCAAAAATCAGGATAAAAGCATTTCAGTAGAAAAAATCAGAGGAAAAGGGCAGTCATCTAAGACTGAACCTCAAAGGTAAGAATGAGAGACCAACCCATCGTTACTGTCCAATCTCCCTATCTTCATCAGGCGCTATTTTACTATGGTAAACGAATGCACAGCACCATCTTGCTCTCCTCTAACAATGAAATAGCGCCCGATCAGGATTGCGAGACTGATAAATTCGAATCAAATATATTACTTGTTAGGAAGAAAAATATTACAATAAGGAAGGGCAAATTGTTATCGAGCAATAGTGAAGAAGACTAGCACATCAGACAGAACTCATCTATTTTAAAGTGACTTTTCCAACAACAAAAAGAAAGAAGGTTGCCTCTGAGGCTATAATAATTTTTCAGGTTCACTATCAATTGAGGGGAATAGCCGAGTAGAAAGAAATCTGTTCTTCAACGTAAATCTCGTGAGCAAGATGAACATTGACAGATACAAAGAAGCAAATCGTAAGTGCAACACCAAAACACCTAATAACAAACTACAGTTAGCAGATCCAATAATAAGACCGGTTCACATTGTTCCTGAGTCAGATTTGAAAAAAGATGATTGATAGGCATGATGGGAAGTAGGAATTTCCAACAGAAAGAACTGCAATTTGAATGAGTGCATTCACAAGCTTGAAATATGGAAAGGTTAAAAAAAACAGACAAAAACACAGGAACAATTAGAGTTCACGGAGTTTGAGGGAAGATTGTGAGAACCGAGAACGTTAAGCGAGGCGTCTTAGAACTCGAAGTGCATCAAAAGCGATGTTGACCAAGTCTGGGACCAGACTTCACCCAGGAAGTGTATGTGGTCTTGGAAAACATCCTCGAACAACAACATCGTTTCAGACAAAGTCTCATAAACAACTCGCACTATGGTCTCGAAGATCACTAGCTCAACCTACTAGTGCAAACAAACAGGGCATAAGTTCAGCCTGACGTCGTTGTCGCTGTAGGACAAATACTAAAAAAATCAGGCTACAGCATTATAACAGCTACAAATTCACTGAGACAGCGATAAGGACGATCGTCGCGAATACAGTGAATCGAAATGTTGAAAGAACGTTCGATAACGTGGTGGACGTGCACTACAGCCACCTTACTAACGGGACTAAAAAAACATCAGCGCTGACGCAATGCCAGTCGGACGACGGGGCGGACGCTGGGCGAATCGCCAACCTCAAAAGAACTGTTGCCGTCGGGGGATCAATGGGCAGAGAGCTAGCACTATGCGATCGGAATGCAAATTACAATATTATGGCTCCACTGCGATCGCTGTGACGTCTAGATTCGCTGGAAATATCGAGCAGTCGAACATTTATTGGTTACAATTTTAGCGGGAACGTGTACCGTCCACCGTCCACAAATCAGACCCATACCGCAAATCAAAGTACTAAAGGCCAAATGAAAATCGAACAGTTTATGGTAGACCTAAATTATCTAAACTTCCCACGACCTTTAATATGGCTTAGTCACCCTGCCTTTTACGAGCAGATGTAATATCTACAGACGCCTACCATTTCGGTATGAGTGATCAAACAAAGAACTGTGAAAATTTGGCTACAGGAGCTGACAAGCAAAGTCCATTTGGTCGAAGTGGCCTTCTCACATGAAAATGATATGACTATAAAGAGCTTCAAACACTGACTTCAAATCTGTCTTCTGCCGAGGGCTTCTGGACGCTGAGTTGTGAGCGTTCTTTGAATTAAAAAATTGAATGCATAATTAGAACAAAATTTGTCAGAATTGCTCAAATGGTCCAATGTCGATTATCAGAGCACCCCATTTGAACAATGCATTCTGTTTAGAACACTGATACTTGACAATGCTATATTTGAGCTCTGAAAAGTCCGCAAAATGTGATTTTACCTAAATTATGCGTTCTCTTTTTCACCAAGAAAATATTCATAACTCAGCTTGCAGAGGCGCTCGGCAGATAATGAAATCAGATTTGGAATCACCGTTTGATGCTCTTTAAAGTCGTACAAGAGTCATTTGAAAAGGCCACTTCGACTAATTGGACCTCCCTTGTGAGAGAAGTCGGCTAGAAGCAAAGGAAGTTAATGCAACTTGTTTAGCGCCCGAAAAACAATGCCCTCTATTTCAGATTCTTAGATTTTGAAAATGACGTCATCAACGAAACAAAGGGAGCGATTGAGCAAACAGATGATACACTGATAAAAAATGGCATCCATTCCCAATCGGGAGCGTTAGTTTGAAACGAAGAAATGCAACTGTGTTAATGATGAGTAATCAAGTGAAACTGCAGAAGATGCATTACCGTTCCAGTAAAGAGATGCAAAAAGGTGGATCGTCAGCAAAATAAATTACTCCTTTAACGCAAAATCTGGAATATCGAAAATGATTCTAGGATGTGTTAGTCCTCGGGCAATGTTCACGCGATTTCATCGCCGCGATTCTACAAGACAAACAGTTAAGAATCTGTATGCCGATCATCTTGCATTTTGGTTGTGATAGTTCTCCAACACGACCAATCGTGACTAACTATCACAACCGAAATGCAATATGATCGACATGCAGTGGACTCTTAACTGTTTGTGTTGTTAAGGGAATCGCAGCGATGAAATCGCGTGAACTCTGCCCGAAGCCTCCCATCATGGCCTTCCTCTATTGCATGGAGACCGTGTGATTTTCTCCATTATAAAAATTTTGCGAGATATTCTACGCATGCATCTGATCTGATTTCTGACACTACTATCACTCCACTCAGATTCGAAGTGCATAGCGCAAATCAGGCATAAATTCACAGGCCGCTTTGGTGGGAACATTAATCGCAGCCCAAGGACGAACAGTACACTAGTAAAATGAGAATGCTCGAGAAATTTGTTGGTAGCACTCCAAAGATTGTTTTCCTAATTAGTTCATGCAAAATGACGCAGCACTGCTATTTAAGAGTTTACGAAGTCAAAACTTAAACTGATATATCAGTCAGATTTGACTAATGGCGAATTGAGCCACAACAGACTGACATGTGTGCAATTACACGAAGTAATTCTTGCTTGAAATTCCGCTATTGAAGTATGCCTGCTATTGGATTGATCCTTTCTGCACGGAGGAATCCCATGGCTGCATAATTTGTGCAGATGCACATATTTCCCTGAACAATATTCCAAGGCTTTCCCCTCACTAATCGCTCAGCAGAAGCCCAAGAGGAGCGGGGAACTACGACATCAGAGCCCTAAGAAATCAAGTCACAGCCAAGTCACATCCCAATGCTAAGCGGAACTAATCACCCTGCGGACCATTTTACACCAACTGGCAAATGTCCAACGATCATAATAATAGGTCACTGACCTAGGACAAAGGTCACTCCAGCTAAACAACGCAGTATTGTAATTCTCACGCTAAGATTTCCATAAAAGAAGAAACCGCTACTGAAATCCAGGTCAATTGACACTTGCAATGTGAGTCAGCGATTTTGATGCGCTTTATAGCATTTGGTGATCAATCAGCGGGCAACAAGCCAAACAGAAAATGTTGACAAACGACAGCTACGGGAGCGATCTGGGGGCCGAATGATGCGCGGGAATCTGCGGAATTTGAAAATAACAACAAAAATAGGTAGGGAGAAAAGATAAAGTACATAAATGTGGGAGACTTAGGTGGGGAGCCTAGCAAGAGCAGAACAACTGAAACAATGCAGATATCTAAGCGCTTAGTCAAACTTTCGAAAATCGCCCCCAACGTGATGATTCATTCGGGGAAGAAGTCTAAAAACTCGCAAACAATGCAGCTTACTCCTCCCACACCATTCTCAGCAACCTATTCGAGCCACAAAGTGAGAGACACAAAGTCTAGTGCAAGAAATTATAAACAAGGCATAGCGCAAGAGCAAAAATCTGCAGAGCTGCGGAGTGCGGTGTCCTCGGCGATAGAATGACGATCGATAATGCCGCAGTGTGTGCAAGGGGCGAGTATCAAAGAAAACGCAGCATCGCGCGTCTAAATAAAAACGTCAGAGAGTGACGAGCGATTTTCGAAAAATCCTGGGCTGGTTCTCATTGAAAGAAGATAAAGAGAGCGGAACCCCCAAAAAATTTTAGGAAAAATAAGAAACTATTTGAGGAGCAATCGAGCGAGAAGTCGCGCTAAATGCGGTTCAAAAGGAGTTTGGACTAGTTAAAAGAAAATTTTCATTTCAAAAGTTGTGAAGCGCCTAGTACCTACCACAGATTTCAAATCATCGATGGGACAGAACACAGACCTTATCGTAAAAATAAAATTGTATATGGACACTTGACATTATAACAAATCAAAAAGCAAAAAGAAAGGCAAATCAAATTCGTGGATCAAATGCAGTAGCTGAATTGTAGCACATGAAGGAAAAAAACGTGACTTACCTAAGAGGTGATGACTCAAAATACACCAGCAGCGTAAGCTGTCTCTGAAAGTCCCCAAAGCAAAATAATGCTGGTCCGAGTTCTTCAAAAATTGGAAAAAAATTCTAGTAATCGATAAATATTGAGCAGTGCAAGTTACGTGAAACACATAGATGA